ATAACTTTTCGAGGTCTACGCAATGAAATCTCATTTGATATATTTTATCTCTCACAAACACAATTCAAATTTCCAATAATTGTATTATATAGTGTATTACCAAAAAAATTAAAAAATTATTATTAATAAGAAAAACAAAATAAAGATATATTTTAATAATTAATTACGAATAAGTTGCCGTTTGGAACTTAATTACGAATATATTACACTCATTCACGCCCAATAAAGGTACTATAACATTAAATTCAAAATTCAAACCTCCCATAAGTTGATTGCATTTTGTATTTAGTAGGAGTTGATTGTGTTTTGTATTCAATAGGAACTGATTGCGTAGTAATTTTATGAGTTGGTTACAGATTATCGCCAATTCAAATAAATTTGTTGGAGGTTATTTGAATTTTGAATTTAATGATATAGGAGTTGATTGCGTTTTGTATTTAATAGGAGCTGATTACGTTTTGTATTTAATAGAAAATTTGGTGCCATCTTATTTATAGATGAGTTAATCCACTTTCGTGCCATCTTTATAGTATTATTGTTGCAAATTTGAATTGTGTTTGTAAGAGATAAAATATATCAAATGAATGTCATTGCGTGATCTCGAAAAGTTATGTGGAATCAAAAAAAAATTACCTCATTCGGATACCCGAGTCAAAAGTTTTGGCCTTATAAAGTTTTACGGTTAAACTATTAATTTTTTGTGCCACGTGTCAAGACCAGACGAGTCACGCCTAATTTAGGCGTGAATGCCTTGGAAGTCACGCCTAATTTGGGAGTGAATGAGTGCAATAAATTCGTAAATAGTTTTCGAAACTACTATGTATTCGTAATTATTTATTAAAATAGTAATATTTTAATTTTGTGCCTGTAAGACTTATTAGTCTTACACTTGTGTAAGATAATCCTGATTCTCTCTCTCTTTATATTTATATATATATATATATATATATATATATATATATATTGGATCTAGCCAAAAGAATAATTGAATGCTTGGCTGATAAATAACTCACTTCTTGGTCTTCGACCGAACAATTATACAATATCTGCCTTATGTAACACGTTGAGATTATTTAGCAACTATGTTCACAGAAGCAATAACCGTAAACGTACCGGAATAGTTGGGAAACATATACCATTATACCTACAATGATTGGACATACCATTGCTATCCATAATGGAAAAGAATATTTACCCATATATATAACGGGGTTTACTAATCTCATGTTACATGATATAGTATTTTCATGTGGGTGATACAAATATGTGGCGTCCATAATTTAAAAAGAAAAGAAAAATTGACACAAAATTCTATGGGTGTATAACATGAGATAGGTATCTTATGCAGCATAAGAATATCATTTCCCATATATAACAGATCATATGGTCATCTTTTTTTGAAAAGAAAAATGGGTTTAGTGGATGGACACTGACTGCACTTAAGGATTGGTGCAGTCATATAAAACTACGTCGTTTTATAATGTGAAAGCATTAAATATGAGGAATCATAACTATATAGAAGTGAAAATAAATATAAAACATTAAATATGAGGAATTATAACCATACAAAGATGGAAATAAATATAATATTTTCGTTTTCTACAACTAATTTTGAACGCAAATTTCCTTTATCCCACCCAAAACGACGTAGTTTTTAGATTACTTTATTAATGCTTATATGCAGTCACATTACAAATTATTCTCTATCTCTATATATATAAGTGTAAACTATCAAAATAAGATTGAAAACGTAATTTATATTAGTGTAAAATGATCCTAACTCAACAATTAATATGAGTATTGATCCGGATATAATGTGGGCCTAACCAGGGCCCAATAAACGCAGGGAGGCCCAAGCCCATGAATGGTAACCTAATCGCGGCACACCAGCGCGATCACCCTGTCGCGGCACACCAGCGCGATGGCCCTATCGCGTCATACAAGGCGCAATGTCTCCTCACGGCATACAAGACATACTTGTTCCCCACGCAACGGGATACCTTCTACAAACAGTAAACTTAAGGGCCAAGGCAACACCACCGCGCCCTCACACCAGTAAACCACGGAGAGCTCCTGCTCGCTGTAGCTCTACTATTAGACACCATGGCAGCAAGCTCCTCAACATTTAAACACTAACAGCCACACTACGTTGGTACCAAGGAACCTTTGCCTTCACCGTGAAGAAAGGTCTCCTCCAAACACACATCTCAACTACTATATAAACATATGTTGTGCCACCAAGGTACGATCATCCTTTACTTTCACAACATAAACATCTGCCTCTGATACTGACTTAAGCATCAGAGTGTCTTCGCAGGTACCCCCATCTGGTGCAACGTGAAGGACGAAGGACAAAGAGCTCAGGCTCATCCCACAACAACAGTACCAAGCCCAGGCCAGTAACCTTTCAAGGAGTCTCAACCTTGTGTGATTTGGGCTTAATACGCGTTGGGTCATCCCTACCGTATCTGGTCAGATCAAGTATATAAATAAAAAATATTACCAATTGAAATTTAACATGAAAAAAAGAATAAATTAACTTATAATAACTTTAAAATAAAATAAGCAATAGGAAGAGTTATTACAATACCGAATTTTTTTCTTCATAACGGTTACGAATGACATTAAATAACGCAAATGTGCCCTAGCGGAAGATGTTAAATGCTATGAATTGGGTTTAAAAAGTTAAGATTGAAAATAAAAAATTGGTTTGTCAATCCGAGTTAACCTAACATAAAATATTTTGTTCAGTTTAAAATATTTAGTTAACACAAAATAGCATAATAGACTTGCTCATTTTTTTGGCATTACAACATAATAAAGAAAAAAATTGAAAAAAATTCATATATATAGCCATACTATTAATTTTATAAAAATAATTGGCGAGACCTTATTTTGAAAATAGAGTTCTTTTTAATTTTTCTAAAAAATAATAATGATAATTTGAAGGAATCAACATTATTGTTTTTTTATAAAAAAATATATTCTTACGTCAATGTATATTGATATCGGTAGAAAGGATTTAAATCCCTTCAAACAAAAAGAAAAAATATTTTAATAAATTGTTTTGAAAAGCAATTCGAAAAATTATTTCGACCATTAATGTGGTTCTGTTCATAAATTGTAGATTTCCGTCTAAATTGCAAATCATTAATTGATTCTAAATTTAATATACCCTAGAACATTGTAGGATGTGGTCTCCGAAGGTTTTTAGAGTATACATTCTGTAAATAATTTCAAACCTTCTAAATGAAGGGAACTTCAAATTCATCCAGTTTGGCTTTTAAGCTAATAGATTATCAATTATCATCTTGCAAATATTTGTCCAGAAAATGACAATCACTCTTTCCGTCCAACTATTCTTCAAAGCTTGCTCAGGAGTCAGGACAAAAAATATCCTCAAGTTAATGGAGTTTATTATTATCATTATTATTATTTAAACGTAGCATAAAGAATTCACATGAATTTTATGAAGCAGAAAAATCCAATATTCCCTTCCCACACGACTCACAAAACATCAATTGAACACTATGCATTTATGTGCAACTCGCTTTATGTGAGTACTTATAATATGCAACTAACAACTCTTATTTTGTATCTTTTGCTATTGATTCTTGGGAGTTCTGAACAAAACTGAAAAACTAAATGAGATTGTTTTATGTTCCGCCATTTATCAATTCATACAAGGCCCATAAGAGAATGCCGATGACTGTGTCCCTCACTAAACTCTTGACTAGGCCATCAATCCAGCCATTGGAAACCCCATCATATGAATTTTTCCCTACAAGGTCTCGAAATCTCAAATTCCCTGTATCAGATACCAGTGCATATATTACGCCATTCATGTGGCCTTTTCCAATGACACCCACCACCCTTTTACAGTTATTCACAGCTTTGCTTCGCTTCAGTGACCATGCAAGATACTGCAAACCAAAAACCACCATTGTTCACTTGTTGGACTGATCACATACAAAAGGATATACTGTAATACAATTTGAATGAGGGACAATCATCATGCATGCAAATTGATTCCCTGACAATTTGAATGGAACATATCTGTTTATGCATGAGCTTCTTGCCTCTTCACTCTCTCTCTCTCTTGTAACCTTTTTTCCCCTACAATTTTTAGTTGGTTTACCAAAACTTCTTTAGAAAGGAATGAAAAGGAAATGGGTATTTTGAAACTGAGATTGTAGAGCATTTATGTTTTCAAGGAACCAAAAATAAATAAATAAATAAATAAAGATCAAAAAGGAAAAACTTACAGTATCTCGTTCATGTATGAGAGGTGGTAATAGTGATGGATATGAAAGACTCAGTTGTTCATAAAGCTGAAATGTGCCATCATCCGTACTTGCTTCCTGCAACTAACAAGATTTGACTCTTTAGTTTTTCAAATAACTGTCATGGCAAACTTTGGGATATATTTATATGAGCATCATAGTTAATTTTGCATCTCTCTCTTTTTTCATGTCACTTCCTCTTTCTATCTCTGTACAGCAAAAAATTGTATGGCAGCATAAAGAATGTTGAGATCCTGCATCCCCTCACAATGTATGGTTCCTTTGCAATGAATACCTATTATGAACACTTGCTTCAAAGCACAGGTAGTCAAATATAACTTGAGTACACGTGTACGTATGTATTCTTCACTGCATCAGAGCATCTTACACAAAATAATATCATATCAAGCTTACCAGTTACCAATCTAATTGGATTGAGAGATGGCTCAGCTTACATTTAATATAAGAAATGAAGAATACCAAAACAATGCACCACATCAACGTAAATCACTCAAAAACTACAAAACCAAAATAGAAAGCAAACATGGTTGATTAATGTAGAACAAATAAACAATTTACAAAGTAACTTTGTTAAGTTTCACCCCCCAAAAAAAAAAAAAAAAAAAACTTTGTTATGTACATCATATATAAAATGAATATTATTTCAAAAACATAGTTAATCATATAGAATGGACAATTTCAAAGTTCTCCTTTTTCCACTCCTTAATAATCAAGCATATAAAAGCAAGACACTTAGCAAGGAAAAAATAGTATAAATTAAAATTGTAATATCTTGGTTACAGAAGCTACCTCAAGTTTATTAGTAGAAATGTCAGATGACGATGTTATCCCACGAACGACTGAGATCACTAAACTTAGTTTGTCAGTCCATTTCAAAGCCTTCCATGCTCTCTGAAGCTGCAAGACAGAATACAGACAAAGAATTTGTTATTTACTACAATAGACGAAGGGATTACTGTTTCTTCTGCAACATAATTATTTAGTTTCTCACATGGTTTAAGTTCAACTTAAAAAAATATCAAACAAATTTGTGCGCCAACAGAACTATAATTGTTTTGAGTTACAGGATGTGACATGTACATACTGTTATTTCAATTGGTCGATCTCCCAAAACTATTTGTGCACCAACTTCCTCAGAAGCTTTTCGAGCAGCACGGAACTGCATAATAGATATTGCTTTTGTCAAAAGGAGGTATACTTCCAAGTGCTACATCTATAGAATACTTTGAGATTACCTCATCACCAAAAGGGCGGTTAATATCTGAAGAGATCTTTGATGAAAAAGCAGCCAGAAGCAATCGTAATGCTAAAGCAGTTTGACCACCTGACATTAGGTAAGCAATATATAAGCTTCTTTTATATAAATTACAAAGAGATGTCAAACAAATTTGTGCTTACCCAGGTTTATGCTACGACCAACAGCTCCAAAAAATCCAGTCCCGCTCAAAGAAAACATATTAGACCTTATCTGTTTGCCAAGCTCATCATCGGCAGCAGCATACATTATCCCAGCTCTGGAAATGAAATCTGCAATAATTGAAGTTAAGATGTGGATTGACAATAAACAATTTGGACATTTATATAGCTCCTTATGCTTTCAGTTGGAAAATAAAATTAAAAGCTATAGACATAGGAAGAAAAGAAAGACGAAAGGTGTGAAAATTGTGTATTGCCTTAATCTTTCACATAGGGAATGGTTACAATATATACAGCTAATATCGAACGGGAATAAGAAAACAAATTAATTATAAGAATCAAACAAATCAATACAAATTAAGACAAAAAAAAAATGGATCCTATTATGATTTGATTTGAAATCATCTTTCGTAAAGTGTAAGAGAATCTTCAGGATTTTCCACACTCCCCCTCAAGGTGGGATGTGTATGTTGATCATTCCCAACTTGTGAAGTATGCCTTCGAAGGTCAAGCTATATAGGCTTTTAGTGAGAATATATGTGGTCTGCTCCTCGGTGGTAACATACAATATACACACACTTCCATCATCTAATTTTTCCTTGATAAGGTGGCGATCAACTTCCACGTGTTTGGTCGGAGTCATGATGGATAGGATTCTCAACAATACTAATTGTGGCCTTCTTGTCACAATACAATCTTATTGGTAATGAGTAAGAGACACGTAGCTCACCAAGCAGTCTCCTTAACCAAATGCCTTCACAAACATCATTAGCTAGAGATTGCAATTCTGCTTTTGCACCACTCCTAGCCACCACAGGTTGTTTCTTAATTCTCCAAGTTACAAGATTACCCCATACATAAGAGCAAAAGCCAGAGGGCAATCTTCTACCAATTGTTGACCAGGCCAATCTGCATCAGTATAAATTTCAATCATTCTTTTTCCCCCATTTTTGAAGAGCAATCCCTTACCTGGTGTATTTTTCAGATACCTTAGGATTCTGTAGACAAAAGTATCAAGGTGTTATTCCTTCAGAGAGTGCATGAATTGGCTGACCATACTAACAACAAATGCAATATCGGGATGAGTGTGAAATAAATTAGTTTACCAACCAATCGCTGATATTGATCCTTGTCTACTTCCTGTCCACCTTCAATGTTCAACCTTAAGATGGGTTCCATAGGCTTCTCATCTGGTTTGCATCCAAGCATGCCTGTTTCTTGAATCAGATCTAGGATATACTTCCTTTGAGAAATCATGATCCTTGTCTTGCTCCGAGCTACTTCCATGCCAAGAAAGTACTTCAAGGCTCCAAGATTCTTTAACTCAAATTGATCTGTTAGATATCTCTTTATGTAGTCTAACTCTTTGTGATCATCACCTGTAACAATTATGTCATCCACATAAACTATAAGAATAACAATCTTACCATCCTCAGAGCATTTGTAGAAGAGTGTGTGATCAGTTTGGGCCTATAGAAAACCTTTCCCTTTAAATGCTTAGATGAATTTATCAAACCATTCTCCGGGGGATTGTTAAGCCCATAAAGAAATTTCTTTATTCAGCATAACAAACCAACTCCTTTTTCAAAATTAGGTGGAGGGTTCATATAGACTTTCTCATGTAAATCGACATTCATGAAGGCATTCTTCATGTCTAGTGGTTGTAAGGGCCAATCAAGATTAGCACCAAGAGACAAGAAAACTCTAATCATGTTGAGTTTGGCTACTGGAACAAATGCCTCTTGATAATCTATCTCATATGTTTGGGTGAACCCTTTAGTAACCAATGCAAGGCATCCATTTCTTCACGGATAGCTTGCCTCAATCTAGGATCATAAAGGCTTCCTAGATAGTTTTTGGTATTTTTGTACTATCCAATACGATGTTGAAGGCATGAAAACTTGGCGACAAATTTTCATAAGAGATAAATTGAGAGATACGATGTGTAGTACGGGACCTTGTACTTTTTCTTAGAGCAATTGGCATGTGTAGATCACCAGTGTCACAGAGGATTGGATTTGGATTGCTATAACTTAAATCCAAGGTGGAATCTTGATAGTGTAGAGGTTCTAAATTATTTACTCTTTGAGGAAGCTCTTTCTATCTATAGACCAACGACTATTACGGTGGATTGTCATCTCCTCCTAATTCCATTTGCTTATCCCCTCTGTCTTCAATTGATCTCCCTTTGATTCCAATTGTAGTTGTGATGAATCATGTGGTGGAAGAATAAGAAAAAGGAGTTCTACTTGTGGTTTAAACTATGTGTTCCCATGATTAATATTCATCTATAGGCTCCCTCTGAGGAGAAGTCGGGGGAAAGAAAGACTGGGATTCAAAGAGAGACAAAGACCTTACATAAGGATGGAGAATAAGACTTGTATCACTTATATGTAGGAGAATATCCAATAAAGATACACTTATGAAATTTGGGATCAAATTTGGACGGTTGATGTGAAGGGATATGGACAAGCATGACACAACCAAACAATTTTCAGGGAAGAAAGGAGATGGACCGCAGGGAAGGGAAGGTGTTTCGGAGGCAAGATAGCAAGTGGAAGAAGCCATTGTAGAAAAAAAAAGTTGAGGTGATCCAAAAGACTAGTTGCTCCGATTACTGTTCTAACCATACAAAAGACCAAGGAGCAATAAAAAAGTTGAAGGCCACTGATCGTGCGGCGAATAGCTTCCTAGATGCTAGCGCCTGATAGTCACGAGCCCAAGAGTATGCACACATGGATTAGCGCGCGAGAAAGACTGGGCGTGTGGAGATGCATTGATGATTGACACCTGACAAGACGACCAGAAGAAGGTAGATTAGCAAGTTCTAGCCCCAATGAGGTAGGTGGCTATCAGAAAACTCGCCGAAAAAAATTTCGTCGACTATTGCCAGTGGCGGTGATTTGGAATCTGGTCTGTCTTCTATGGTTGGGGCTTCCCGGAAAAGACTTCCAGGCTTGATGATGGCTGGTAACAAGGTTGCGGATGGGGCTTTGACAATATTCAATCACAACGATGGATGGACTTGCTCCGAATGGATGCGCTCTTGATACCATGTGAAAATTATGTGTTGACTTAATCTTTCTCATAGGTAGTCATTACAATATATACAACTAATAAGGAACAAGAACAAGGAAACAAATTAATAACAAGAGTCAATCAAATCAATCTTAATTAAGAGAAAATAAAATCGTTCCTATTTTGATTTAATTTAAAATAATCTTTCCTAAAGTGTAAGAAGATCTTCAGGATTTTGCATAAAAGAAAAAATGAGTTGTCGGTTTGAATTATTTTCTCAGACATTCACATTAATCACAAAAGATATTACAAGGTTGTCACCAGAACAACTATAGTTATCCACATATAACAATGACTTCCCTATATTGCTTTCAAATCCAACACCCCTCGCCAATATAGTGTTGTAGCTCATTTTGCAAAATAACGAAATGAAACTTCTTACTAAATGGTTTTCAAAATTCTTGATATAAATAGTAGAAATAGTTAACAAAATCACAACATTAACATAAACAGTTGAATCATCATCAGCATTATCTTTGTCAGCACCATTCCTACATCTTTCTCTTCAGGTTTAGACACAGTTGATTAACTATCATTATAGATTATATACTACTTTGTTCTACTTACAATTCCTTCCGTCTCCCAAATAGTTCCAGCTCATTTTCATCACCATAATGACTTTCTTGATAATTAGTTCAAGGCTATAAAATGACTTCACCAAATATTCCAAATTCTTCTACACCATCCTTTTCAATCATGCACTTGTTATCAAAGGGGAGATCATCAACCTCAAGAACTGCATCTCTTTTTGCTTGCATATATATCTTAATTTCAAGTTCTACAACACAAATAGTAAGTCACTGGAAAGTTGAAGACTACTTCACCATGAGATCAAGTAAAGAAAGCATGTATGTCTTAAGATGATTAGACTATGTTTTGATAAGTAAAACATGAAGTTTACGCTGCTTGAAAAATTTGAGAAGTGAGTGTTACAATTCTCAATTCAGTTCACAATTTGACAACTATGCTTGTAGCCTTTCATTTGTTTTTTCTAATTTGTAAGAAGATCCTATGCGATATACTATAAAATACATTAAAATTGGGTTCAAATTTGTTCTTTCTTGCCTGCTTCGACAGAGCTCTACAACAACATTATCTGGTCTGAGAGCCCGCACCACGCGTTCAACCTCCATAGCCGATTCCTTAGAAACATGTGTAGTTCCCACCAACCAAATGGATTCAGGTTCCACAAATTCAGTCCTCCAAGAAGGGACAGGGCCAAACCTATTCTTTTGGACCAAAACCAAGCTCCCATTGTCAGCCAAGTCAAGTAACTCAGGGTGAGATTCAGCTATGGCGGCTCTGGACTCCTCGGAGATCTCTAGCCTGTAATTGAAATCTGGAGGAGGTGGTGGTGGTTTGATGGAAACCTTGAAGGGTCTGAGAGATCTTGTTGAGAGGAAAAATGGGTTGGTCGTGAAAATTGGGAAGGTTGATTTGATGATGGAATCCATGGAACGGAATGGACAACAAGCGAATAAGAAGAGGGTGGTGATAAGATATTGAAGTCAGAGGAAACAAGAGAAAAATTGCGTGTCTCTGACTTCAGATAAACCTTAAACAGAGAAAAACCACATATCTATAGGCCACCCATTATTATTTGTTTTCTCGCATTTTTCCTTCCAAGCACGAGGACAATTTTAAGTTGTTGGTTCTCTCATTTGACATGTTTAAAAAATTAAGAGTAAATACTCATTTTGTCGTTATCAAATTTTACTATGTTCGCTTTAGTTCCTAACAAATAAAAAAGCTATTCGTGATCTTTAGAGTGGATCCATTTTAGTCTTTGAGACTAATGTGGGTCTTTTTTAAATTTATGAGGGTCTTTTTTGTATTTGTGAGGGACCATAATTTCAACTAAATGAGTCCACTCTGAATTTCTTAGAGACCACGAATAGCCTTTTTATTTGCTAGGAACTAAAGCAGATATCGTAAAATTTGCTGAGGATCGAAAAATGTATTTACTCAAAAATTAAAAAGAATTTTTTGCCTAATTATTAAAAGGTTTTGTATTTCTAATATTGTAGAATATAAAAATTATGGGAAAAAAGTATGTCATTTTAAATGACACACCTTATATCCTTTTACTCTCGTAAAAAGGTAGGACACACATTTAAAACTTTTTCCACTTATTCTCTCTCTCATGATTTATCTCCTTCTCACTTAAAATGACACAACTTTTCTCAAATATTATCTCTTACACATATAAAGAGTATAAAATTTATATTTTTCCCCTTTTCCACATCATTTTTTATGTGTACCTAAGAGATAATTTAATCCTTTACAACACCAAAAACGTCAAACTTATTATTAGATGAGAATCAATTCGTTAATAAACATATTGAAAGAAAGAAAAACATTCCTCAAAACCAAATCGTGCTAACGTAGTAACGCTAACCATATAGCTTTTCTTTTATTGTTTTATGTAATATAATGAATTTATTTTTCAATTATTAGTTGAAGGGAAAAATATTTATACTTTTAAAGAAGAGTAAATACCCTTTTTGGTCCCTAGCAATATTAGCGAAATTCATTTTAGTCCCTGACAATGTAAAAGTACCAAATTGGTCCCTAAAGTTATGAAAAAAGAGCCACGTTAGTCTTTCTGTCAACTCCTCCGTCACGGTCAAACTAACGGTGCTCATGTGGCACGTTATCTGCTGATGCGGACTCCACGGTGGACACGGTGGAAAGCTGGACGACTATGGTGGACACCCATGGAAAGCACGACGTCGTTTTACTTGAATGCAATTAATTGATAAAACCCAAATAATGAACCCTAAAATTGAAAAAAACCCAAATGCCTTCAATAGAACCCTAAACCGGAAACTCCATCCCCCAAATTGATGAGCAAATCTGTAAACAGCAAAATGCCACCAGAAAGTTTGCACTTTGATGATTGAAACTCGACGAAAGACATTAAGCCATCAACCGAATTTCTGGGCGTGGGAGAAGATGAGTGTTTCTTCGGGCATGGGGGGGGTCAAGTGGGAGTAAATCAATGGGGGGAAGAACAATGGCAAGGACCACTGGTTGGAGGTGCAAATGTGGGAGACAAAGTATTGTCTATACCTCCAAAACTGAGAGGAACCCAAACAGGGCTTTCCTTGGGTGTCCTAACTTCAAGGTACGAATTTGTAATCTACTCCTTTATTGAGTTGGAACACTTGCTAACCATGGTGTTTATTTTTTCAGGTGAAGAAGCCCTATTGTGATTTTTTTAGATGGGTAGATGACACGTGTAATGAACCCATGGAACTGGAAGAAGCAAGAATTCACACTGTGTAGTTGGATGTTGCTGAAATTAACTTCAAGTTGAAGTATGTGGAGATGATGATGAGAGAGCAAGATGTGAAGATTACTGAGCAAGGAATGAAGCTTCATCAGCAGGAAAGAAAACTGAATGATGTATACCTGAAGATGGTGGACGAGTTAGTTAGGATGGACAAAAAAATTAGGACAGTTGATAGGTCAGCTAGGGTCTTAGGTGCTTGTGTGGGTATGATCATGATCTGTATGTTTGTTGTTAGTGTTGTAAAAGTGAAAAAAAGTGACCTAAATGTATTTTTGCTTCATTGAATTGTAATGAGTACTCCTTCCTGTTGTTATACAAATTATGTGTTAGTTCAAATCTGTTTGTGTGTATTATCATATGACCTATTATAAAAAAGCCTTGAATGTATTCCTTAATATATTATGGCATTATATATTATTGCATAGTTAGGCATCGAATGAAGGATAAAAGATTGCTACATTGTATCACAAACAGATATAGATTGCTACTGATATAGACACATAACTCATGACATTGCTGATACAGAAGTTGCATACTGTTATGCATATTTTGTTACTGATTGCAAAACACGAGAACCAATTAGGTCCCTGGCAATGTTAGTCGAGGGTCGTTTTGGTCCCTGACAAAGTGCACGGGGCACTTATTGGTCCCTGATTCCAGAATTATAGGACATGAGTTGTTGATGTCCAAATCAACAAAATGCAGCACTCATTTTAAAAAACAGTAGTGCATTACATCAGATACACTTGCTGTCCCTGACTTATATGCTTTTGAATGCAGTCCAGATCAACAAAATAGAAGTATCACAAAAATGCAGCATGTAGAGGTCCAAATTGGTCCCTGACAATGATTGTCGGGGTCCTAATTGGTCCCTGCATCCAGAAAATTGGACATGATCTGTTTAATCAGTAACACAGCACAAACCTGCACCAGAATGCAAATATGGCAGCTAAATGACCAACAACAAGCTAACTCAGTTAAAAAACATAAAATGGACATGAACTTATCACATTCATCAACCCTGCCACATAACATGCATGTCTAGAAATAAACCAGTTACATATAATTGTCTTCCTACAACTACAAACCAGTAGTGCATTACAAATAAAAGCCAACTGATAGAAATTACAAGTGAGGCCTATAAATACAATCTTGGCCATGCATCAAAATGATTACATTATATCTGTAAAAGGCCTCCCAAAAAAAATGGCCAGAATGTACAAAAAAAAGGGCATTATATCCACTCATTTTCAGTTGGCTCATGCACTACTCCCTTGTTCGTCTTCATCAGCAGCTCATTTTCTTGAGGATCGCCTTGGTGGCATAAAACCAGGTGTTGTCATGAAGTGCATAAATCTGCTTCGTGTGCCAGTGCTGGCTGCCTTAATTGTCTCTTCAGTCAACACTGCATTTGCTTCTTCTGGATTTGAAGGAGGTGGGCTGCATCCTCTCAAGTTGATTTGTTGTGCCTGAGAACTACCAATTTCTGACGGGCCTCCTTGACTTAATGGGATTTCATTTACTGAGTCTGTGCCAATCCTCACAGATTGTGGTCTTGCTTGGCTCTTGTCTGTTTTGGAAGCTGCTGGCCCCTTACAACTCTTGCCATAGTGTCCAGTCTGACCACACTTACTACACTTGGCTTCATATGTCCTTTTAACTTTCTTTGTCATGCTCCCTTGGTCTTCAGTTGGGTCCTTCTTCCTGTGTTTCTTGGGTCGCCCAATTGGCCTTTTCAGTTTTGGTGGAAGAGGTTTGGGTTCATCAGATGCAGGCCAATACTTGTCCGAGTTCACTGGGTTTAAGGTGTGCTCATATGTGGCATGCAATGCATCAACTGTAAGCCATTGATGGACATAGTTCTCGGCTGGCTCGTTTTTGTGACAAATTGCTGCTATAGCATGCTCACAAGGCAGTCCAGTCAACTGCCATACATTGCATGCACATGTATGTGTTGTTAAATTGACTCCAACTCTATCACCTTTCCCACTGACCTCATACATATCTTGCTGCAGATTTCCAGTCCAAGTGGGTGTCCATGAATTGCTAAGAACCTTTAACTGATCCAGTTTCAATTGCTGAGCAGGAGCTATTTTACCCCGAACAGTTCCTAACACCCTCTGATGTGCAGCCATCCTCCTCATAATGTAGCATCTCAGTTCCTCCAATAGAGTGATAATCGGTTTTGACCTATATCCAACGATCTTGGCATTCCATACCTCTGCCATGTTGTTTGTGATATTATCACATTTAGACCAGTGGCTGAAATAAGCTTTCACCCAACTTGAGGGCTGGATGCCATCCAAGTACTTCCATGCAGCCTCATTCTTTACTTTCAACCGTGCCATGCATTGCTGGAACTGGGGGACAGTGGTGCATCTTGAACACTCCCAAACCATGGCTCGAATTGCCTTGTCTTTCCATTGCTTTATGAAATTCTTCCAAACGTGCTGCACACAAAAACGATGATATGCACCAGGCATCACCTCTTGCAGTGCTGGAATCAGCCCCTACACACAGACACAAAAAAAAGGTATCACAAAAACATATATAGATTGCCACAAAGTGTTGCTGACTCAAATAGACGAGGATCAAATAGGTCCCTGGCAATTGCCATCGAGGGTCGTTATGGTCCCTGAAAAATTGCACGAGGGACTAATTGGTCCCTGACATTATCAGGAATGCACTTAACATCAGAAATGCACTAAACATCAGCAATGCACTTAACATCAGCAATGCAGTTAAAAATGCAGTTTATGTAATCATGATAGGGTTAATAAGCAGGTAAATAACAGCAGAAAAAAATCATTCAACAATTGGATCAATCTGAATACTTAAGCAAGTTGAAATGAAACAAGCTTAACACACCTTCTGTTGGTCAGAAATAAAATTCCATCCAAACACTGCGTGAGGGCCAATGTCTTCCTGTAATAGGGTTAAAAACCACTTCCAGTTCTCTTTTGTTTCACTATCAACAATTGCATATGCAATGACATAGAAACTTTTGTTGGCATCCTCACCAACTGCACTTAACAATTGACCTCCATAATATCCTTTCAAGAAACATCCATCCAAACCAATTAAGGGCCTGCAGCCAGCTTTGAACCCTTTCTTGCATGCATCCAGACAAATGTACAACTTAGAAAATATGGGAGAGGAGTTCGGATCAGGTTGTGGGATCACTTGCATTTGACATGTAGACCCTGGATTGCTTCTCAATAGCTCACCTAAGTAGTCTC